TGAGATGAGGATATATATATATATATATATATATATATATATATATATATATATATATATATATATATATATATATATATATATTTCGATAAACGTGCAATCAATTTACAAATTCATGAATTATTCACACAAAAACAAATGCAAAGGTTAATGATTTAATTGGCGAGAAATCCATCGTCGCAAACAATTCAAATAATATACAAAAACCTCCGAATCTTCTTATTACTAAGAGAAAAAACAAGAACAACATCTATTCCATACCTGAAGATGTCTGTAGGAACAGACGAAAGCTTGTAGTAAAAATAAGAACTAATGCGGCAGAAATTTATAGAAACAAGGATCTTTTCATTCATAACGGATTCGGAGGTTTTTGTATAGTATTTGAATTGTTTGCGACGATGGATTTCTCGCCAATTAAATCATTAACCTTTGCATTTGTTTTTGTGTGAATAATTCATGAATTTGTAAATTGATTGCACGTTTATCGAAATTAAAATAACTGATCCAGGTGCGACTTTTGGATAATAACTTCGACATTACTGTAATTATTGAACAATATAGTTCATGCCACTTTGACAGAAAATTTACTAGTAAAAAATTCGTTCATCACCATATTTGTACATGAACGCACAACTGTAAAAAATTTAAAATCAAACTCAGCGTTGCTACTGCACGCTCCAAAAACAATAACTCATTTCCAATAGCATTTTCGGATACAACAATACATATATTTTCGTTGTCCTCTTATTACTAAGAGAAAAAACAAGAACAACATCTATTCTATACCTGAAGATGTCTGTAGGCACAGACGAAAGCTTGTAGTAAAAATAAAAACTAATGCGGCAGAAATCTATAGAAAAAAGGATCTTTTCATTCATAACGGATTCGGAGGTTTTTGTATATTATTTGAATTGTTTGCGACGATGGATTTCTCGCCAATTAAATCATTAACCTTTGCATTTGTTTTGTGTTAATAATTCATGAATATATATATATATATATATATATATATATATATATATATATATATACTCAACTGAGAGATGAAATCCACTTTATCCGCCCATAGACAGATACTAAACTCTGATCCCAGGCAAAAGGCGTAGAAACGATGGTATTTTTCAGCTCGCCCACGTCACAACTGAATGTGACACAAGGTCGAAGATTACAGTGGGTAAACCCTTCAGTACTTCCCCTTTTGGGGACCCCTCAGGCGTCGGGCAAGAAACCGAGCTGCCTCCCGAATGAGATGTATGTTGGAGCTCAATATGATTTAACGTGCCCTACTTGCGAAAAAGATGGATGCGATGGTAACAGCAATAGATGTACCATTTTTCAAACGCCCGATATCAAACAAAGGAAACCACAAGAAATTGTGCTAAAATAACAGAATAAAATAAAAAAATTCTGTCTATATTTCTGAGATGAGGTATTATATCCACTATTTACATTGCACAGACTATCATATTTATCACAACGTTTCGGCCGTTGTACGCTCCGGACTTCTTCATGTGGTTCGAATGTCGAACCGAACCATTTATTTCGCTCGCTGGGGTAGAAGAGTCATGTTTAATGGACGTCAGTTATCAGTTATCTTCTGTTAATTTCCCTCTGAAAGTTCTTCACTGTCTTAACCGGGTATTGAATCACTCCTATCGCTGGCTCTAACCAACGCCTTTATCCACAGTATCATGTGTCCTTGAGGACATCTGTGTATGAATTTCTGTGTATTATAAACCTAATGTCTTCAGCAACCATTTTTACCAGTGCTCATATTGAAATTTTTGCTGTTTTCAATACGTGTTTACCAGATCTCATATTGCAATTTTTTTTTGTTATTATCGCTTTTCCCTGGCACTCCTTATTACTGGTTCCCATATTGTATTTATTTCTATGCTTGGTCGGCTCAGGAGATTTTTGTGGCTTAGCATATGTGCTGATTCCTTAAGTTTACGAATTTTCCAATGGTGTTCCTTGTCTATGATCTCAACCTGATCCCACATGGGGCGGTGATCTCCCTTCTCTCTCCATATGTGGTCAGCCACACCTGATTTTTCTACTTCCCTTCGTGTTACAGCTTTCTGGTGTTCTTGAAGCCTTACCTTGAGGGGGCGGCCTTTCTCTCCTTTATATTTCTTTCCGCAGCTGCACGGGATAGCGTACACGCAGTCTTTAGTCATGTTCTCCTCTATGGGGGGTTCTTACTCGGGAGAGATATCTGCGAAGTGTCTTCCAGCTTTTGAAGGTTGTCCTGATGTTATATATCCTTTGTAGTTTCTCTGATAACCCCTTCACATAAGGCAGGCAGACTGTTTTCTGAGTGTTGTTGTCCTCCTCTTGTACCCGCCTATCAATATACGGTTTGACAGGAATGATTGTATTAAGTCAAACAATCGACCTGTAATTCCATAACCCTGAAGCTTGCGAAGAAAGCCGGCATGCAAAAACCCTATCAAGCGCTTTGGAGATATCTAGAGCCACGGCACGAGCTTCTCCGTTATTATGAAGGGCTTGCTAAACAATTTCAGTGATGGCCGTAAGCACATCAGCTGTAGAACGGGTAAAGCAGAAACCATATTGCTTGTCGGAGAGCAGATCATGGGATGTAAGGGTCTTAATCACTTCGGCGATGATTAAAGCTTCGATGACTTTGCCGAAGAGTGCTAGGAGTCTGATAGGACGGTAATTAGAAGGCTCAGAAGACTCTCCAGAGTTCTTAAAAACAGGAACAATAGATGAGGACTTCCAACAGTCTGAAAAACAAGATTCATTGAGTTATATAATTTGGAGAGGGCAGGAGCCAATTCAGAAGCACATTTCTTCTATTTATTTTTAAAACTCTAATTTCTTGATGTTGAGATAAAATTCATTAAGGAAGGCGCAGTAAATATTTTTTGTCTTTACCAAGCACTTTCGATTTCCTCCAAGATAAATTCAGGTGTGAATCCTTAAGACAAGACTCAATATAATTTTGATTTTGTGAACACACGTGAACACACACTGTTATAATTATTTTCAGATTAACAGTTGTAGCTACGCTGATTTTGTGGTAAAGAAGTGTTCACAATATAAGGGAGCTAACTAGAGATGTGTGGCGGACATGAGACAGAACCTGGGACGAGCACAACTGGTCGCGACTTGTCTTGTCCCCGCCAAAAAAGAGCCCGCATTTGTTTAGCATGTAAAGCTACTGCAGTTGAAATGAGGGAGAAAAAAGCACTTACCGCTCTGCCGTAATCCGTCCTCGGCCAGATAACGTAAAAGAAAGAGGTGGGGCTGGCATTGCATTTTTATGCAATAACGATGCAATGCATTATGGGACACGGACGCAATGAATTATGGGATCACATGAAGACGCAAGGGATTATGGGTATATGAACAACTATAAAAGCAACTACTTTTTTCCGAGTCGGGGAGTTCTTCGAGGGACGTTCACGGTTGACGGCAAGAACGGGCAGTTAGTGTGATTTGGACACAGAACTCAAGAAGGAACGACTCAAGGTTGAAATACCAGTTGGGAGAGCTTGAATTTACTCGCTGGTTACTGTTTTCTTTATTCGCCTCAAGATGGTAAAGCTGTAAAAACATTAAATGTTAGTCAAATACATTTTAAAACATTCCTACTATACTCATCTATATAATAAATCAACTTCTATTCTAACGATAAAAAACAACTGTTTTCAACGTTATTGCTACGGGCCACTGTCCAACATATAGCATTTAGGAATCAGGCCGACTCCAAGAGGAATTTAAAAACATTCAGGGACGAACCCGGGCCCGCAATTCTGAAATTTTCGATTCACAAGTTTTCATTAATGCGAATTTTCGGATTCCGTCAGCTTGGCTTTTACTGACAGTAAAAGGGACACAACTCTCTAACTTTCAATAGCTCATGTTCAAAAGAAAAAAATGACTGTTCTCAAATAACAGTGTTTCAAAATAAAATTGTCCGTGTTTTCAAATTTATTTCTAGAGACTATATCCCGATATATCATACCATTTTGGAATCAGGCCGACTCCGTGAGCAAATTAAAAACATTCCTCAATCCTAAAATTTCGAATTCCCAACTTTTCATTACTGCGATTGTTTTTAGATTCCGCCATCTTGATTCTACTGATAAAAACAATTAAAGGGACACAACTCTCTAACTTTCAATAGCTCATGTTCAAATGAAAAAAATACTGTTCTCAAATAACAGTGTTTCAAAATAAAACTGTCCGTGTTTTCAACTTTATTCCTAGAGGCCGCAGCGCAACACATCATACCATTTTGGAATCAGACCGACTCCGTGAGAAATTCTGAAATTTTGTATTCACAAATTTTTATTACTGCGATTGTTTTCAGCGATTTTTTACGTGATTTTTTTGCGAAGAAAATTTTTCTACGTTAATAATTCTTATAACTTGGAAATGAATTTGGCAATAATCGAAATTATTTGAGAAATCCAGCAAAAATGACCTATGAAATAAAAATAATTGTTTGAACGGAAAGTAAGGACCTACGTACATCAAACTGTCTTTAAATTAAATGGCGGTAGAATAAATATAAATACAATACTTTCCCTGTGAGCTATAATCTTCAGCTATTCAAGTGTAATGTCAATCGACATCTCCAGTTGCCTTGATATATCCACTACCCTCATCTTCTATCACTCCTATCTGATCTTCCTCTAAACTTTCTGTAACCCCTTGCGTCCTAGTGGCTTCCCGCCTTGCTTGTGGTGAAATGCTTAAAAAAAATGCAGCGATTAATTTGGAGTTCCTCTGTAGTTTATTGTTGCTTATCACATCTATTCTTTCCTACATATTGAAATGAAAATCCACCTAGACCATCCCCGCAGGAGCTAGCTTAAATGCCGCCAGATAATCTAGCAATAAATATAATAGTACTTCAGAAAAAAAAAATTACCTAGAGACTAAATTATCAATCTGACAAATACTTTGTGACAGACTCAAGTGTAAAAGTGACCATTAATTAACTCAAGGTAAGTATAAACGAAATGAATACATGGTGCGAGCGTAAATTGTCGACATATTTTATGTTTAATTTCGAGCACGCGCAATGTTTGTCTTTGATTTTGTCAACAGCAAAATACAGTAGGGTCAGTTGGGTGCCGTCTACGAGAAAACGGGCACCCTGACGTAGTTCACTCCGCCAGAAATCTATTTGCATTTCTATCTGTCTATCTCTCTATCTCAATTTGTTCATATATCTATCTATCTATCTATCTATCTATCTATCTATCTATCGCAGTCTGTTCATCTATCTATCTATCTATCTATCTATCTATCTATCTATCTATCTATCTATCTATCTATCCCAAGTCTGTTCATATCTATCTATCTATCTATCCCTATGTTTGTCTGCCTATCTATCTATCTATCTATCTATCTATCTATCTATCTATCTATCTATCTATCCCAAGTCTGTTCATATCTATCTATCTATCTATCTATCTATCTATCTATCTATCTATCTATCCCTATGTTTGTCTGCCTGTCTCTCTGTCTATCTTATCTATCTATCTCAGTCTGTTCCTATATCTATCTATCTATCTATTATCTATCTATCTATCTATCTATCTATCTATCTATCTATCCCTATGTCTGCCTGTCTGCCTGCCTGTATGTCTGTCTGTCTGTCTATCCCTGTCTGTCTGTCTGTCTATCTATCTATATGTTATGATTAACTGCGTGGAGGTATTAAGAACAGAAACATTAATAATGAGTAGAAAGAGAAAAATCTAATTAAGAAGACAGTAGATAGCGATTGACATTGCATTTAACTTTTTTTTTTCAGATTTAAGATTATTGGAAAGCATGGAGCCGGAAGGTGTGTTCCACAAGAGAGAAGTGCGAGAAAGGAAACTGTTAGTATGGAAGTTACGGCTACATCTGGCCAGTTCAACTGTAAATTGATGAGATCCCAGTTTAGAATTGGGCTTAAATTCAAAAAAATTTAGCGAAAACTCATTTCATAAGATGAAAGTATAAATAGAAAAGGCACAGGGAGGCAACCTTACGGTGGTGAAGCCGAGATGCCAGATCCGGACCAATAATATTGCTGATTCTTTGGATTTTATCAAGGAGCTCAAGATAAATGGCAAGGACATTGGACCATATGTGGAAATAATATTCTAAGCATCGATGAATGGTATCTATCCATCTCTCTCTCTCTCTCTCTCTCTCTCTATCTATCTGTTATGGTCCAGGTTAGGACCAAGGTGAACAACCCGAACACAAGAGTAGAAATAACGAAGGTATATTACACGAAATAATAATACAAGATGTGGAAGGTGTTAGTATGACTGTCAGTCTGGTTTGGCTCGACTCGATTCGATATTTACTTGACAACCCCCCCCCCACAAGGGTTGCATCTGGTACAAGGCCGAGTAGGCTCGGACAAAAAATGCCCGTAGAAACTGTAAAAAACAGAATCGGGTTGGTCAACCTTCCCGAACGACACTCTGCCCTTCGGCGGAGCCTCGTCCGGGTTCCTCTCTGCTCAGAGGCAGAGAGTTCGACCGTCAAGCCGAGAAGCTCGGCTCGATTCGTCCCTCTCTCTTGAGATGCGTAGTATACGCGTAGTTAGAAAGAGTTCATTCTGTAGTTATAGGTAAGGACCCATGACACTATCTCCAGCAAATCACTACAGAAAATCTCTTAAGACAATGTCCGAGATAATCTCACACCGTAAATTTAAAGAAGACACAATCATAATGGAAACTAAGCCCAAAGAAATTCCTTAAAGTCGTGAATTCTGATATAGACTACAAACGTATACGCACACATATACTACGCACACATACATTCATTGGTATATATATATATATATATATATATATATATATATATATATATATATAATTGGACAGCAATCAGCCTTTCATAAAAGTTCCATTAAAAACGCCATCTATCTTTCTGTCTATCACAGTCTGTTTATTATCTATCTATCTATCTATCTATGTCTGTTCACATCTATCTATCTATCTATCTCCAGCAAATCGCTACACCAAATCTCTTAAGACAATATCCGAGTTAATCTCACACCGTAAATCTACATAAGTGACAACGATAAAGGAATCTAATCAAAGAAATTTCTTACTGTCGTGAATTCTGACAAAATTTCGTTTTAAACCATTCGAAATATAAGCTACATACGTACACGCACACATATACTACACACAGACATACATTGTTATATATATATATATATATTGTTGACTGTCCCGTCGTTTATCGACGTATGAGGGTCAACCACACCACTTCTTAGGAACTGACACCCCAGACACCAGCACATGTGATTTGATTATAATGGTGAAGGTTTCGTGCAGGACCATCCAAACTTTTTGAAGGGCCAAATACAGAGACCTGGTGCACTAATGCCACAAAGTTCCCAAACGACCCTCCGCAGGTTTTGAATTCAGAGTTGTCCTTCTCCTAGATCAGTTGCCATCCAAGGCTATATAACCCAGTCTGTCCTGCTATTTACCCATAGCTGAAAGAAGAAGACGATTAATAAATTTCCCAAGGGATAGACTGGAATTCGATTATATATATATAAAAACGAATAGAGGGACATCAGAATGTATTTGGGAGGAACTAAATTTACGTAGTTTGGCAAATTTATTGATAAAAAAACATTATTTAATTTTATGTTGGTCACACCACAAAATCGCTTTCACGACGCTTGACTCTACATTTGAATGATAATTCTAACAATTTTAGGCATTTAATAAAACATACCTGGCCGCGTACACAATTCCGGAAAATACTCGTTGAAAACACAACTATAGTTAAACGTGAAAACAATAAACAAAAACTAAAAATTCTTGAAGCTATATACATACTACAGTTGAAACCTAACCTGAACAAAATAAACTGTGAAAACTCCGCAAATATACTTAAATGCCTATAACTGATAACAGTTTATACCAACGGCTTCCCATACTTACACATGTGTAACGTCATGAGCTGCGGTGCAATTTTCGCTTTAATGTCTTATATGAACGATTTTTGTCGTTGCTTGTAAATCATCCGTATAAACAATGACAGACTATCATCACTGTCTTGTCCGTATATTGCTTAATATATTGTACAGTAATTGGCATTTTTGATAATGGCTTATGTAAGCCGACAGATTAGATTAGATAAAGAACTATGGATCAATATTGTGATTTTTTTTCTGCGTTTAATGATAATGTTATTAAGCTTATCAGACGATATGAAAATAATTTACTAAAATAAATAGACAACACTTGTCTATATTATTTAATGAAACATGCATCAATAAAAAAAATGCTGCCTAAATACACACACACACAATATATATATATATATATATATATATATATATGTGTGTGTCTATATTTCTGAGATGAGGTATTATATACACTATTTACATTATTCGGACTATTGTTCTCATCTTTGTCAAGGATACATGGCACAGTGGATAACGGCGTTGGTTAGATCCAGTGACAGGACGCAAAGAGTTTGAGTTTGATTTCCGGTTAAGGCAGTGGAGAACTTTCAGAGTGGAATTAACAGGGGATAACTGACAATTGACATCCATTAAAAACATGGCACAGTCTACCCCAGTGAGCGAAATAAAGGGTTCAGTTCGACATTCCAACCAATTGAAGAAGGCCGGAGCGTACAACGACCGAAACGTCGTAATAACTATGGCGACAAAGATGAGGACAATAGTCCGAATAATGTAAATAGTATATATATATATATATATATATATATATATATATGATCTCTTGAAATTTTTCGTATCTACACATTAATCTTATTAATATCCGTTCCACACACAAGCACACACACACACACACACGCACATACACACATACACACACACACACACATATATATATAGAGAGAGAGAGGGATTGAGAGAGCAAGAAAGAAAGATACGAAAGATAAAGAGATGGAGTGTGTGTGATAAAGAGAGAGACATGCAAGTAAAATATTTGTCATCGAACTGATTGATGCGCCCTGACTCCAGAGTTTGCTTGACGGACGCTCCGGGAATCACACCGCTCCTTCCTCAGGGTCTATCAGCTATATATAGATATATATATAGCTTTCGTCTTCAACTTTTTCTAGGCAAAAAGTCTTGCCTTGAAAAAAGTCAGAAAACGAAACGCTTCGGCAAAATCTAAGATTTTTTTCCAATTGTCATTTTTATAATATATATATATATATATATATATATATATATATATATATATATATATATATATATATATATATATATATATATATAAAAAAATATGTTGTAGTGGTTCCAACGAGAGAAAAGTATGTATATTAAAAAGAAGAGAAGAGAGGTGCCGCAAACGTTTTTGGTTGTAATGTGGATTTATTTAGAAAAATATTATGCTTTGTTTTACATAATTTTACTACGACACGTGTTTCTGGTCTCAAGCGACCGTCTTCAGATAAAAGTGGAGATTTCTACATATTATTAAAAATAATATTATTAAAAATAATTAATTTTTCTTCATGTTCAATGTGAGATATTCTAGATATGAGACATTCTCTGTTTGTGTGTTGGTAATCCGAATTTCTTTCTAGAATATATATATATATATATATACTACAGATTAAAGATTTATGGCCACCCCTGATAATTTTAATATTGTCCCCAAAATTAGTTGTTTTGGAATTTAAATAAGAGTAAATTATTATACAAGGACAAAGGAAAAACTGAGTCATGATCTACAGGAACAAACAATGATTAAAATATTAACACAGGTAAAAACACAAACAATATATGGCGATAGACTTAAATATAAACTGGACAAATATTTAACTATAGACCCAATTATATACCCAACAAATACATGGTGATATTGACTTGACAAATATTAACCTGTAGTCTCAAGTATAAACCCGAACTATACTGCCTCAAATATAAACTGGATAAATACTTCGCAAGAGACTCAAATATAAATGGGACAATTATTTATGCATAGACTCAAGTTTTAATCCGCAGATTATTTTCATTAGAACTGTTTTCCACAGTGATATTTAAAGATAACTTAAGCCATATTTTTTACACATAAAATCTTATCAAATATTCAATATACATTACAAATATTCTATCATTGATAAAAGAGGGGATAACGTTGAAAAATATTTTGTGCTGCTGTTATTAATATAGATATTCGAGGAATTAATTTGCCAGGAAATTCTTCCCGACCAATCAATACTAAGGCCAGTTTTTGAGAGAGAGAGAGAGAGAGAGAGAGAGAGAGAGAGAGAGAGAGAGAGAGAGAGAGAGAGAGAGAGAGAGAGAGGAAAGCCTAGTACCAAAGTCGTTTTTGAGTAGAACTTCAACGATAAAGAGGTTTTCTGATCTTTCACACAATTGCACAATGACAATGGACGCGACATCGATGATTTGCTTTCAAAACCTGTTCGTTGTCTACATTTGTCTGTCTTTTCCAATCACAGAGTATCTATCTATCTATCTATCTATCTATCTATCTATCTTATACTGTTCAATATCTATCTATCTTTATCAGTCTTCTCACATCAAGCTCTCTTCCTCGTTATATATATAGGCATTACCCTGAAGATCCGTTTAGGTGAAACCTAGGTAGTTTTGCCTGGATCCTTAGGATTATCTTAGGTTTTGATCTACTTAGTGTATTGAGCACTTTACGTACTTGTCTTTTTACTCATTTGGGTTTTTTTTTCTTTGGACTTTGAGCTTGAACACTGGACGATTGTTTTCGCCTTGGTTTAATGTTCTTGGTTCTTTCTTTTTTTATTTCCCCATTTTTCCTCGGGTACTGATTTGTTCTACTGCAAGTTGAGCTATCCGAGGTTTTTTCAAACGCGTACCACCATATATATATATATATATATATATATATATATATATATATATATATATGTGTGGTGGACTCTCTCCTGTCGTATGAGGGTCAAGCAGCTCAGTTCCTAGGAATCTACAGTCCAGACATCAGTACATATGTTTTGATTATATTGGTTAAGGCTTTGTGCAGAACTGCCCACACTTTTGAAGGGTCAAATACGTGCTACAAGGTCCCCAAATGACCCTCCGACCTTTTGAATTCAGAGTTGTCCTTCTCCTAGACTAGTTGCCATCCAAGGTTATAGAACCCTTATAGAAGAGGATTAATACTTTTTCCAAGGAAATTAGGACGCAAACTCGGCTATCTACTACTCCATCGTGTCCCCACCCCTCTCTCTCATATATATATATATATATATATATATATATATATATATATATATATATATATATATATATGTATATGAGAATGAATCGAATAGAAATTCAAACTTTCATAACATTAGTTTTATATATATATATATATATATATATATATATATAATTATTCATTTAAAATATGATTCCAACACGCTACATAAGAGGTCTCATGTTTCAAAACAAGAGCCGAAACATGAGAACTCTTATGTCGCGAGTTGGAATCATATTTTTAAATAAATAATTATACTCATGCTCTACTTATGTATCGAGCACTTAAAAAAAAAAAAATAACAAAAATACTAAAGAACTTTGGATTATTTACCTAACCAGTTCTTTCCTATTTTCTATATCTTTTCACACACACACACACATACATATATATATATATATATATATATATATATATATATATACTCTTAATGTGTGCGATGTTAAATTGCCAAGACTAGGGAAGAAGAAAAATCTTCCTACTTCGACATAAAATTAAAGACTGGTTCCCCAAATGAGGCCAACTTTGCATTTAACTCTTTGTCTGCACAGATCAGGACGTTGTATATTATTAATAACAGACTCCAATATGTCTAAGTGGAGCCTGGACCGTGCCCTGTGCAAGACAGAGAAAAACTCAGGGGAATAGTCCGTCCTGCAAGCAACAGAATTCAATAAATGCTCGCCGATAGCAGAGTCAAGAGCCTGTCAACACCCTACGCATCTGGCCTGGGACATGCTGAACAATCCTAACCTCTAAATTCTGGATATTCTTTCTCACATATG